ACCTACACGTGTCTGGCCAAGAACGCGGCCGGGGAGGCGTCGGTCTCAACCCCGCTGGTCGTGAAGGGTCAGTCGAATGCACAATGACTCTGACCCTAGATCCCTCCTGTCTGTTCCGCCAGCCCATCTTACCATGCCTCCACCAGGAGCTCTTGACAGCACATCGGTCCAGTTATACACGTTAGGGGTCGCATTCACGACAGGCAGAAGAGCATTCTTCGACGGGTATGGAAGCATCCACGCTTTAGATGGATGTGTTCGGCAGCTGTCGTCTCCATTGCAAGCAGGCCTTCCGTGAGCTTATCTTAGATGGGGCGGGCAAGCGCCACCTTAGTGCTGGTGGACGGACTGTGTTTGACTTCTACGTTGGTTGGCGGTTGCAGTGCCGCCAGAGCTGGCTGTCTTCGGCTCAGTGGAGGCTCTTAACGCCGGCGACGACGTCTCCCTCACCTGTAGCGTCTTCAAGGGCGACACGCCGCTGTCCATCGCCTGGACCTTCCACGGCCAGGACCTGCCTATGGACCGCGAGTTTACCACTCTGACGGCTGGAGACCGCACCAGCATTCTACTGATCAAGGGCGTGTCTCACGGCCACTCGGGCACCTACACGTGTCTGGCCAAGAACGCGGCCGGGGAAGCTTCGATTGCCACCCCGCTAGTTGTCAAGGGTCAGTCGAATGTTAATCGATGCTAATTCTGTCCTTCATCTCCTTGTTCGTGGTCCTTACCTTAGTCTCCCTAACCACGTCACTGTATCTCGGCCAGAACGTCACAGGACAGCACTACTGCACGTCGTCAGAGGCCTCGGTTCAACGGTCTTTACGCCGTAGCTGGTTCAGGCGAGAGCACAGTGTCGGCTGGTTTGCCATTCCACACTCGCTTCGTCGGCACCGAATGGACCATCCTGTTGACTCCAGTTGAAAGCAAGCCAGTATATGGCCCCAACCTTCCTTGTACATCCTATAGATGCCGGCTATACCTTTTCATCGAGCACTGCAGTGATGGTGTTGATATTAAGCAGCGTCGATGCCGGCCCCCGGTTGCAGTGCCGCCAGAGTTGGCTGTCTTCGGCTCCTTGGAGGCTCTTAACGCTGGCGACGACGTCTCCCTCACCTGTAACGTCTTCAAGGGCGACACGCCGCTATCCATCGCCTGGACCTTCCACGGCCAGGACCTGCCCATGGACCGCGAGTTTACCACACAGACTGTGGGCAAACGCACCAGCATTCTCGTCATCCAGGGCGTTTCTCATGGACACTCGGGCACCTACACGTGTCTGGCCAAGAACGCGGCCGGAGAGGCGTCGACCTCCACCCCGCTGGTTGTCAAGGGTCAGTCGAGTGCGCCACCAACGGCATATACTCTCCTTCGAATGGTCCGCGCGCCCTTCCTACCTTGCCTTCAACAGCACGGTCGGCAGTGCCATCCACACGCGCCGTACGCTGCAATTGCGTCAGCCCCGCCGCAGACAGACACGCACATTGGGCCGGGCGGTGAAGCGCGCCCTGCCGGATGAGCGCTCCATAGGCTTCGGTCCGGTGCAAACTAGCCCAGATGGCGACGGGCTGAGAGGCTGACAACTTTGATGGGGACTGTCGAGCTGTGATTCCTGAACGGCACTGGTAGCCTCACAGAAGGTTAGCTTTTGCTGTAGCGCTTTTCATTTTTGATAACTTTCTCTTTGATTGTCGTTCGTAGTGCCGCCGGAGCTGGCTGTGTATGGGTCGGAGGAGGCCCTTAACGCCGGCGACGACGTCTCCCTCGCCTGTAATGTCTTCAAGGGCGACACGCCGCTGTCCATCGCCTGGACCTTCCACGGCCAGGACCTGCCCATGGACCGGGGCTTTGTGACACAAACCTTTGGTGATCGAGCCAAAATGCTGCTGATCAAGGGCGTTTCTCACGGACACTCGGGCACGTACACGTGTCTGGCCAAGAACGCGGCCGGAGAGGCGTCGATCTCCACCCCGCTGGTCGTCAAGGGTCAGTCGAATGCACGAAGACACTGTCCCTCGTTCCGTTTCTGCCCGCTCCGTCAGCCCTTGTCACCATGCCCTGCCTAGAAGCTCCTGACAGCGGACCCCTGCTGCAATGCGGAGCACATCGACGCCTCCCGGGCGGGCTTTGCATTGCGTGCGCTGTTTATAGGGTAGCGCCTGGTGGCTATCCTATAAACAGTGCGTTCACACGTTTTCCGCTTACGTTGATGGGCGTAGGAGCATTAGCTCTGTACTGGTGGACGGACTGTGTCTGACTTCTCCGTTGGTTGTCGGTTGCAGTGCCGCCAGAGTTAGTTGTCTTCGGCTCCTTGGAGGCTCTTAACGCCGGCGATGACGTCTCCCTCACCTGTAATGTCTTCAAGGGAGACACGCCGCTGTCCATCGCCTGGACTTTCCACGGCCAGGACCTGCCCATGGACCGCGACTTTATCACACAGAATGTGGGAGATCGTACCAGCTTTCTATTGATCAAGAGCGTTTCTCACGGACACTCGGGCACGTACACGTGTCTGGCCAAGAACGCGGCCGGAGAGGCATCGACCTCCACCCCGCTGGTTGTCAAGGGTCAGTCCGCAGCTCACCTCTCCTTCCCTGGCTCCTTTTGGACTGCCATCGTCCTCGCATCTGAATCCCTTGAAAAACAAGCATCCTCTTCGGACGGAGTGACTGGCGTGCTTCCCTCGATCCGTTGCAAGCGTCTCTGTTTGAGAGAGAGACACACAGAATGGGTTCTTAGCGTCGTCGTTCTGGTGTCGCCGAGCGTCCCAGCCGTGGCCGCTCGGCAGCAGCAGTTGCAGCAGTCTGCGATCGTCTCACCGGCTGGCACGAGTGGTCTTGCGGTCCACCCGTAACAGCGTTTGGTATTTGGTCAAAGAGTTCTTAGCTGTTTGTATTATCTGGAGAAGGACATTAACATCTGCCGGCCGTACTTCGCCGTCGTCGTCGCTGATCTTCGCGTCGCAGCATCGCCTAGTATTGCTCCAGCAGCGTCGGTGATGCGGCTGTCACCCTGTGCGTTCGTTGTCCCGTGTGCCGCGTACCGCCGGCGACCGCTCCTCACTCTCTAACCCCTCCTCTCCGCGCCGCCAGTGCCACCCCAGGTGGCGCTGCTCGGCGTCGACTCGGTGCTGAACACGGGCGACGACGTCACGCTGACGTGCACGGCGTTCCGTGGCGACCTGCCGGTCCGGCTCTCCTGGACGGTGGACGGCCGGCCGGTGCCGACGGCTGACGGTCTGACCACGCTGGCCGCCGGCGCGCGCACCAGCCTGCTGCTGGTGTCCGCCGTCTCGCACGCCCACTCGGGCACGTACGCGTGCCGCGCGACCAACGCGGCGGGTAGCGGCGCCGCCTCCACCGAGCTCCTTGTCAGGGGTCAGTGGCGCCGCGCGCGCGCGTGATCCCGCCGGGCCGCCCGTCGTCACGCCCGCCCAGCGGTCCCGGTCTGTCCTGCCGCCGCTCCGTCCCGTCTCCAGCGGCGTCATGCAGCAGCGTCGGCGAGCACGGCTGACGCTATGTCCAGACAGTTGTCACCGGGTTGGAAGAGCTGGGGAGCGGGAGGACCTGGCCTGGATCGGTTGTAGCAGTCTGGCTACTGGCCGCCCATCTGGCCTGTTGCGCATTGCTGTTCTGCCTACTATTCTTACTAGTTTTTTCTCACACCATCTGTAAGAGAGCCATGCCCAAGGGACGAGCACTGAGTGCCTCGCCTGATTTTTTTCGGGGTCGAGGATTGGTTTTCAGACGTCCCTTACTTGCATCACATTTTTGAAACCCTTTGTTTACGGAAGCCCCATTGCGCTCACCGTGTTTGTATTTGATGGCGTTGTACCTGGTGAGTCTCCGGCCGCCAGTTAAAGCCTGGCCACGCCCAAGACTACCACCGTTGTTCCAGGTGCCGTGTGGTAGCACACGCTATAGCTATAGGTACACCGTTCTCATCTACAACCAGATTCACTGTGTTGGAAAGGTGGTATGTGTTAGAGGCTGCAGCTTGGGACCCACAGTCAAGCTGTATGCACGTTACTTTATCGGCGGACTTATTGGCGCGGTGCAGCACGCCGGGCTGATGTCGACGGCTGCGGTCTGATGCTCCGCGCGTCAGGCTACGTCAGGTTGTGGTCCTGGAGGCCGGCTCCTTCTCTGCAGCGCTCGGTGTTAGCCCCTCTGGTGCGAGGGCACCCGGGCCGGACGGTGTGCCGCTGTGTCCGCCGGGACAGCGGAGGCTAGGAGCTAAACGGCTTCGCGAGGTCAGGCATGCGCAGTGCCGGTCTTGGGTCAGCTGGTTTGGTTAGGTCGTGTCGGGTCGGCTGCTGCCGTTTCCGATCTGTGATTGGTTAGCGTCCGCTTGTCATCGGGTTAGGTTTTTCGGCACGTTTAGTCAAAGGAGGCAAACCCATCCTCATCCTCATCTCTTACCCCTGCCGCCAACCCTCTCTCTCTCCCATAACATGCGGTGTATTAACAGCGCATGCTGCATGCTACTACCGACTGTTTATCCCACTTGTAATATATCAATTGCATTCACTAGAAATCGAGATATCATTGCATCCGTGCAATTTGCATTGCTTGCAGTGGGACAAACACGTTTACCGTCCACGTTTCCATCTGTGCTCATTCAGTCAGCTCGTCCAAAGTATCCAGAGCGTTGTTTGACTGTATGTTCAATAACAATTCGAGCACAGACTGACCTGGACGGTACTGCTGTCGTGTTACAGTTGTTTTACTTGAATAACCGTGGCCCAAGCTGCCACGCTATTATTGTAATGTCTTTAACGATGAGTCTTTGCATTTCCACAAAGCTGAACAGTTCTTCTTGTAATTGTACTGAATTTGCTATCAAACATCGCTAGCTACAAACTACTGCTCACATGACGAACGATGAGTTGCAGTAGCGTCTGTACTGTTTTGGAGTGGCTATGCCGATGCCCGTGTGCGCGTGGGTATGTGTTTGTAGCCGGCTGGCGTGACTTGCCCTGACCTGAGCCGCGCGGTCGCCAGTGCCCCCGCGCTGGATCATCGAGCCCACCGAGAAGGAGTTCGCTCTGGGCACCACGGCCGAGATTCAGTGCAAGGCGGACGGCTTCCCCAAGCCGCAGATGGTCTGGAAAAAGGCGGCCGGTGAGTGGGTGGTAGATGTGGCCCGCACCCCATACCCTACCGGCTGGCCGTCGGCGCTGGAGGACGGCTGGTCCAAGAGCGTCGTTACACGTACTGTCTGGCCGCTCGTTATTGCGTGTTCTCACGGAACGCGGATGATGTAGTCACCTATGTCAGCGTTAAGAGCTCCGCCGAAATGTTGGCTTTGGGTACGTGTAGGCTGCTGGTAAGCAGTTGTAACATCCAGCGTCCCACAGCCCGTCGCACCGACGGCGATGTGCCGGGTTCATAGTGTTGTGGCCGTCCGACGGTGCCGTCGCGGCCAGTTGCCGGGTGGCGGGCTGGACCGAGAAGCCGCCGGTGCGCCGGACCGCTCGGCGGCGGCGTCGGCGTGCGCGTGACCCCGGCCGGTGTCCGCAGGCTCGCGGCCGGAGGACTACCGCGACCTCGGCCAGTCGGACAGCAACATCCAGGTGCGCGACGACGGCACGCTGGTGATCAGCAGCATCCAGAAGCGCGACGAGGGCTACTACCTGTGCGAGGCCGACAACCAGATTGGGCCCACCCTCTCGGCCGTCATCTATGTCAACGTTCAGGGTGAGCGAGACGCGCCCGACGCCGGCCGGCCGCCGGTACACGCGAAGGACGCGCCGCTGGATGGCGGCCGCCACCGCCTGGGACCTTCCACGCGATCGCCGGGCGGGTGCCCTCTTGCGTTAGTCGGGCGTGGGGAGGTGTCTAGCTGCGATCGTGAACTGCCGCGGCTGTTCCGGGGAGCTGTACTGCTACGGCAGGTTGCCGTTTGCGGCCGCTGTATTGCACCGCAGTGTGACTGGGAGCCGGTTGCCCCACGCGTGTGGCGCGTGAGCTGCAGTACGATGTCGCCCCCTGTTTCCGCAGCGCCGCCGCATTTCGAGATCAAGCTGCGCAACCAGACGGCGCGTCTGGGCGACTCGGCCGTGCTGGTGTGTGAGGCCAAGGGCGAGCGACCGATCAGCATCACCTGGAGCCGGGACGGCGTGCCGCTGAGCGCGCGCGAGCCGTCGCCGCGCTACACCATCCGGCAGCAGGCCACCGACGGCGGCGCCGGCTCCGACCTCAGCCTGCAGGAGACCAGCCGCCGCGACTCGGCCACCTACACCTGCCGCGCCTCCAACGCCTTCGGCACCGACAACACCACCATCAACCTGATCGTGCAGGGTGAGTGGCGGCGTGGCCGTGGTCGGCACGCCACGTCCGCTCGGTCGTGCGGTGCGGCAGTGCTACACCGCCGCGGGGCTGTACTGTGACAGGCGGCTGGAACATTCGCGCGCTCATCCTTGTCCGGTGCCGGCCATGTACTCAATGTTGCCATGCGCAGAGATCGCGGTGTTGACACTCGGGTGTGACTTGCAGAGAAGCCGGAGGTGCCGTTCTCCATCAAGGTGCAGAACAAGTCGGGCCGCACGGTGGAGCTCTCTTGGACGGCCCCGTACGACGGCAACTCTGAGATCTCCCGCTACATCATCGAATACAAGCTGGCCAAAAGTACGGGGCGAGGCCTCAGACGCCGACGGACACCGTGGCCGCTTTTAGCGGTGTGAAAATGGCTGGGAATACGCTTACTTCAGTATGTTTCAGAGCCTTGCAGCTCATTCATTCAGATTCATTCAAAGCGTTCTGAAAACAGGCTGCGTGGTTTTTGACTGTCAGCTGTCTAGAGCGCATAGTGGCGCGTGCTGCTGCCGCGTGGCTCGGCCGCCGGCAGCCGCTGGTGCTCTGACAGTCGCCCCGTCCGCAGACGAGTGGGACACCCGCAGCATGGAGCGCGTGCTGATCCCGGGCAAGATGCCGGTGGTGTCCGTGCAGGACCTGCGGCCGGCCACCACCTATCAGATGCGCATCATCGCTGAAAACGAGGTGAGGTCGGGGCCCGGGACAGACGCGGCGGCGGCGGCGGCGGCGGCGCCAGGCAGCGCCCTCCGCCGGACGGTCGCGGAAGTGTGCAGTTTGGTGGAGTTAGCGGGGGCGCCGGCGGTCAAGGAGTCAGGCCCGGTCCGCTCAGTTTTTCAGAAGCGCGGTGATTGTTTGCCGCGTGTGGCCATGCGAAAACTGGATGGTTATGTAGACAAACCCGTTTTGTTGTTGGTGTAGATGTGGGGTTCAGCTTCCTGTAGTTGTGATTCAGTTTTTCATCGAATGGTTCATCCGCTCAAAAAATTTGCGCGATATATCTGGTGCAACATTGCTGCTGGCGTTTTCTTTTCAGTCAACTTTTGGACAAGCATAACGGAGCGTCGAAACCTTCATCTAGATGCTCCTCTCGCTCCCCCCCCCCCCCCCCCTCCCTCTCCACGACCACCAACGCACGGCGCAAACTGACACTTGATCCATCTTTGGTTAGAACTAGCCCTTTGTGGAATGGCTCGATGCTTGCTGGAGCCGCCGTGTGGACCGCAGCGCAGTCGCAGCCGCGGCCGGGGCTGGCCAGCGGCGAGACGGCTGGTGCCATGCGTGCTGACTTGTGTGCCGGCGGCGGCGGCAGGTGGGCACGTCCGAGCCCTCCGAGCTGGTGACCATCATGACGTCAGAGGAAGCTCCGGCCGGCCCGCCCACGGACGTGGTGGTGGCCCCGCTCGACCGCGGTCTGCTGGTCACCTGGAAACAGCCCGAACAGCACCTGCTGAACGGCGAGGTCACGGTCAGTGTCAGCGGGGTGACGGACGAGGTCAGGGCCGAAGTCGGGGTGACGGCAGAGGTCAAGGTCGGTCAGAGGTGGCGGTCGAGATCAGGGCCGGCCATGGGTGACGGCCGAGTCAGGCTCAGTGTCAGTGGGGTGACGGCAGAGGTCAGGGCCGAAGTCAGGGTGACGGCAGAGATCAGGGTCGGCCAGAGGTGGCGGTCGAGATCAGGACTGGCCATGGGTGACGGCCGGGTCAGGGTCAGTCAGGGGGGGGGGGTGACGGACGAGGTCAGGGCCGATCTTGGGTGACGGCCTAGGTAAGGGCCGTTCAGGGGTGACGATAAGACGCCTGAGAGGAGCGCTCCAGGAGTGCAGGTCTACTCATGGGGGCTGACTCGGGTGTGCTCTGGAGGGGATGCTGAGTTCGGCCGTCTCCGGGACCGGCGAGGCGGCGATGAACGGGTCCTGTCCACCGGTCAGCCCGCCTGGCTCGGCCCGCCCGAGACTGGCGAGGTCAGCCTCTATGACTCACCCCGCCCGCCTCCTCCTCCTCAGGGCTACTACGTGGGCCACCGGCTGGCCGACAGCGACGACAGCTTGTCCTTCCAGACGTTCGAGTTCACCAGCGAGGCCAGCCGCAAACACGAAATCCGCATCACTAAACTCGAGTACGTGTCGTCGCGTGGTGCATTCCTCCTCCTCCCCCCCCCCCTTCACGGTTCCACCCCCTGCCGTGTGATGAGGCACCACACTGCTGCCTGGCTGCCTGTGTATGCACACGCGTCCCCCCTCCGCCTCCCTCCTTCTCGCGCATCCTTTCGCTCGTGGTGAGCCACGCGCTGCTTCGTTCTCACACACCAGCTGCGCAGCTGGCCGGCACCAGTCGCCCTCTCGAGCATCCCAGTCTTGACAAGGCTGGCTACAGTTTATCGTGGATCAGACCACCGGCCGCTCGGTGTGACTGGCCGCCCCACCCTGTGACGCGACGCCGTACGCCGTTGAAGCTGGTCTTCTCCACGGCTGGCCGACGCTAACCTCGCTCCCGCCTGCGCAGGGAGTTCCGCGAGTACGCGGTGGTGGTGCAGGCGTTCAACGGCCAGGGCTCGGGACCCCAGTCGGGCGAGGTGCGCCAGTTCACGGCCGAGGGCGCGCCCTCGGAGCCGCCTCAGGCCATCACCTGCCGCACACTCACCTCCGACTCGATCCGCGCCAGCTGGACGCCGCCGCCGGCCGACTCCACCAACGGCATCGTGGCGGGCTACAAGGTCATGTACGGCCCCAGCAGCACCTGGTACGGTGAGTGCTGGCCGGTGGCTCGCAGCGGCCCCGCCCAGGCAGCGGGGCGCGCGGCGTCCACAGGTCTCTTCGTGTCGCAGGTACCTCAGTGGGATGGTACCTCAGCGTCAGCAGGTACCATCAGTGTCAGTGGGATGCCTGGGCAGCAGTGTTCACGGCTCGTCGTGTTGCGTCGCGCCGCCGAACAAGCGACGTACGCGCTGCGCTGTGCGGTCTGGGATCGGACGGCAATGGTCGGGGGTCCCCGGTGTGTGCCCGCCCCAGCGAGCGCGGCTGGCCGGGCGCGGCGTGACGGCACCGTCGGCTCCTTCGGCAGACGACAGCACGATTGACATGGCCAAGTCGGACGTCGACCGAGGCGCTGCTCACCGGTCTGCGCAGTTCACCGAGTACAACATCACCGTGCTGGCGTACACGGGCGGCGGCGACGGGCCCCGTAGCCGCTCCGCCATCTGCCGCACCGAGGAAGACGGTAGGCGCCGCCCGGCCCCCGCGCGGCACGCGCCGCGCGGCCGGTCACACGCGCACGTGGCGGCGAGGCGGAGGGGAGGACGCGGCCCCTCGCCGAGCCGGATACGAGGCGCGAGTTTGCTGGAACCTGACCCGGAGTGGGAAAGGTTTAGCTTTTATTGCACACACGTGTCTGTTGTAGGTGCGGTGGTGTCTACAGTTGTGGTTTATGGCGTGACCTGTTGTGTGCTGCCGTGTCAGAGTATGCCGTGCTCTAGCGCCCAGTTCCTAGTATGATTGTGTGTTGGGGCAGCGCTTGGGAGTCGTATATGGTTCATGACCTCCCCATGGTGCCGCGGTGGCTCAGTGTCCCGCGTGTGACCTCCCCGGGGTGCCGCGGCGACTCAATGTCCCGCGTGTGACCTCCTCGGGGTGCCGCGGCGACTCAGTGTCTCGCTTGTGACCTCCCCATGGTGCCGCGGCGACTCAGTGTCTCGCTTGTGACCTCCCCGTGGTGCCACAGTGCCCGAGCCGCCGGCGGACATCAAGGCGCTGCCCATGTCGCCCGACAGCATTCTCGTCAGCTGGCGCGAGCCGGCCCAGCCCAACGGCGTCATCAAGCGCTACACTGTCTACTTCAAGGAGGAGGGCAGCCGAGAGGGTGCGACACCTGGCGCAGGGCGCCGGCCGCGCAGGGCCGGAGGCGGCACCTGCTGGCCCGCTGGCCCGTGGCCTGTGCCCGCCGCTGCTGCTGTGAAGGCCTCTGGGTGGATGTGCGAGGGCTGGTCCTTGCGATGTGGTCATTGGACCCGTCTGCTTGGAACCTTGTGGAAGCTTGTTTAACGCAGTGGCCAGAGGTTTTCAGGCGCATGTGTGGTCGTCCTGGGGGACCCGTCGCCGGGGCGGGAGCACCGCCTCCCTCCCACCGGTGCAGGGGAGACGGTCCGGCGGAGCGGCTCCTCGTCTTGGGGTCCTGACGCTGTCTTCTCGTCCGCAGCCCCAGATGCACCGCGTGACGCCCTTCCAGCTGTCCTACCGCGCCAGCGGCCTCAAGAAGACGCAGAAGTACCAGTTCTGGGTGAAGGCAGAGACGAGCATGGGCGAGGGCGACGCGTCCCAGATGGTCACCGTCACGCCAGCGTAACCAGGGTGGGTGGCAGCCGCGCTGCTCACGCAGGCCGGTGCCCGCGGCCTGACATACCGCGGGACTGGCCCGCTGCGCCGACCTCGCGGCTCCGGCGACCGCACCGACGCCGGCCGGCGGCTCGGCCGTCGTGTTGCGGCGGACGTGGCGTTCGAGCCACACGCTCAGACCGCCGTCGTCCGGCGGACAGCCCGGACGCGTTCTGTGCCGCCGCGCGCCGACGGAGGTCCTGTCACTGCGGCCGCTGTCACGTTCAGCGCCTCCAGCGGTCCCCTGCGGACGGACGCCGTCCGGGGGCTGGAGGCCGGCGACCCTGCGCTGACTTAGGCGGTGTGCTTGCAGTTTCCGGCGAGGATCGCGTCCTTCGACGACGAGCACGTGGTGAACTTCCAGCATGACGCCAAGCTGCCGTGCCAGGCGGTGGGCTTCCCGCAGCCCACCATCACCTGGCAGGTGGACGGCAAGCCGTTCAAGTCCAACGAGCGCATGCGCATCCTGCCAGAGGTACGTGGTCGGAACGGCACCCGGTCCGAGGTACGCGATCGCCCGGCCGCAGACTGCCCGAGGTATGTGGCCTCCGCCAGCGACGCGTCTTGCAGCGGTGACGACGTCCGCTCGCATCGGCGGGTCGCCTGTCCAGGTCCGCGGACGCCCTCGGACGTGAACATGAGCGCGCGGACCGCGCCTGCTGGGCCGGCACGGGGTGGCGTTGACAGCACGGGTTCGGTGGACGTGAGCTGCGCGGATGCGTGGCGAGCCGTCTCGGTGCTGATTGGCGTCCCCGTCTGTGGCGGCAGGGCTCCCTGCAGATCCGCAGTGTGGAGCGCAGCGACCGCGGCGAGTACTCGTGCATCGCCAAGAACCAGTTCGGCAGGACACCGTCTCCCACCGGCTCATCGTGCAGGGTGAGTGGGGGCTCGGACGCGCGCGACCCGGGCAGGGGGACGGCGCCGCGTCGGCCGGTGTTGACGCTTGCGCGGGGTTGTTCTGCAGGGTCCTTGGTTTTAGGCCCTCGATCCGGTGAATCGAGGCTAGCTGGTCGACAGCAACTGGTGGATGGCGGGTGGTGAGGATGGATTGGTGATTTGATACGCAATTCATGAAGTGAAGGGTGGGTTGAACAAGAAGCGTTGGACTGGTTGTTTCAAGGGTGGCATACAACAGAAGGGAGCAGAAGACAGGGTACCTGGCGTCCCCATTGCCTCTGGGGCTGCGCAGCGTCGTGTGGCGTCGACACGCGCTCCCCACCGTCTCCGCCGTCTGTCGTGTCGTGCTGGCGTGTGGCGGTGCTGAGTGTGTGCTGGTTGTGAGCGCCGGCGAGCTCGCTGTGGGCGCCGGCGATGGCCGTGACTGGGCGCGCCCTGGCCCGCAGCGCCGCCCCACCCGCCCGAGGTGCTGCTCATCGGCTCCTCCAACAACTCGATCGAGGTGCGCCTCAAGCCGCGTGAGCACGTGTCGGTGCCGTTGTACGGCTTCACGTTGCACTACAAGGCGGCGTTCGACGACTGGAGACTGTCCAAGTGGCCAAGAAGGTGAGCGGCCGCTGGGCGGGCTGACGGGGCTGGCGGGGAGGGGGGGGGGGGAGGGTACCGATCCAGCTGCAACGATTGCGCACCGTGACGTTCATCCGGCTGTTTGGCTACGAAACTTGAGTTTGATGCGATCATGACGTTGCCGTGTCGAAGGTTTTCAGAGTTGATAACTTTGGTATACGCGCGGCCGTCCCACCAGCCCGTCATCGGCTACTTGTCCACTGCTCGGAGGGCGGACCATATGTTTTCCCGGATAGCGTTATGGCGAGCAGGCTTTGAGAAGCGTGACGTCACGGGTGTCGCGTTCCGCCGGGCAGGCATGAGCTGCACCGATACTGTCCATGTCGCTGTGGCTTGTTCATCTGTGCCGCCTGCGTCTTCAGGCCCGCGCCTTCACTCTGGAGAACCTGTGGTGCGGAACAAAGCACCAGATCTACGCCACCGCGTTCAACGGGTGAGTCGCTGGCGCGAGAGCCACGCCCTGACATCACGCGTCGTGTGTGTTCGACCCGCCTCCGTGGGTGCCCGAGCGCCGAGTTCAGACCATGCTCCGCTCGTTCTGCCGTCGCCCCGCTCTTGCACTGCCCATCAGCCGTCTCCTGATGACGCTGCGCTGCGCCGGCCTGACGTGTTCCTGCGGCGTGCGCAGGGTCGGCCCCCGGGAGCAGTCTGCCATCCTGACCACCCGCACCAAGGGCCAGGCGCCCACGCTGCCGGCCGCCGACCGGTTCATGCGCGTGCTGGCGCGCAGTGTCGAGCTGCACCTTAAGACCTGGGAGAACGGCGGCTGCCACCTCCTCTACTTCGTGGTGGAGTGCACAAGAAGCGGTGAGTGGGCGCGCGCCGCCGGACACGCCGGCCCGGGCAGGCCGCGGAGGCCCACGGTCTTTGACAAGCGAACCCTCAGCCTGTGTGTGCCGACTGTCCAGAGACAGGGAGGCAGGAGGGTGTGGGTGACTGGCGGTGACCAGGGCTGCTCGTGCACTTCATGGCGCTCATCACGGTTATATTCTTTCTTGGGGGTCCAAATTATTTCCGGTTAAAATGGTTTGTTAGGCGAAGTTATCTCTGACAGCATGTCGAAATGTTCGGCCTGCCTGTGAAAGGTTTCCTAGTGGATGCTGCTCTCCACTAATATTTGAGATTATCTCGTGCCTAAACGCCGGTTACAGTTTTGTTGAGGACGTTACGCGGTCGAAAAAACACGCCGGCTTTATTTCAAACGTCTGTGGTTTCTTGATATGTTTCCCCGAGAGAGCGCGTGCCGGTGCAGACAACAGCGCCGTCGCGACTCGGCTGCACCGGCCGAGTCCGTGTGTCGGACGCCCTCTATCTCGCTGCTGCCGTCTGCCCGCGCAGCTTCGAGACGGAGTGGACGACCGTGTCCAAACACGCTGAAGCCCCAGGGCAGCCTCACGGTGCTGGACCTGGAGCCGGCCACGTGGTACGACACCTGCGCGTGACAGCGCACAACAACGCCGGCTCCACGCCCGCTGAGTACCTGTTCGCACGCTCGACGAGGAGGGAGGTGGGTGACGCGGCCACCTCCCGCCGTCGCGCGCAGCCAGTGTGACTCGTCCCGCATCGGTTTTGAACGCACGATGTGTGCTTTTGTTTGCGCAGCCTCGTGATATTGGCACATGTCGTTGTGAAGCTTGCCCTGCCTTTTCGTAGATAGGGAACAATAGCAGAAGCTTCTGCTATTGTTTCGATAAGGGCATATTGCCGAAACATCGACCCTTCTATATTTCATTCTCCTGGTTTTTCTCCGAGGAGTAAGGCTATTACTACCGTCTTAACCATGCGAATAATGTTCCTCGCAAGGCACTGAACAGTTAACTGCCCCGACCTTTCCGTTGTTTTTGTCTGTGTCGTCGCTTTACTGATCGTGTGATTGCCCACGCTTTATACTTGTGTCCACCGGCCGCCTACTGCCAGCTGAAGTAGTTGCCTGTGCACGTGATAATGTTTCCGCAGCACCCGAGCACAGCGATGGCGGCCCTGCATGCCCTGAAAGACGCGGGGGACTTGCCGTTCGCCACCAGGAGGCCGATTGCTGATCCGTGTCGCGCGCATTGTCTCCCTGGTGTGCGTGGCACCCCCAGCTGACGTGGAGAGGAGGGTTTCCCGTCTGGTGGAGCATATGTGCCGACGGTGGCAGCACATAACCATGTGACTCGCGGCTATCGAGAGCTGTCCGGTAGGCGAGAAGTGCAGTGCGGTGCCGTATCGGTGCAGACATCGCGTCGGTCGGGTGGCCGGCGTCTGTACGTCATCGGCGGGCACCGGAACCGCTGCGTCCCGCCGGCAGCCGGGGAGGCGGTCGGGGAGCGCGCACCCCTGGCTGTCGCTCCGATACGTCTGTGGCCCTCACCGCAGCGACGCCTCACTCGCCGGTCGCTGTAGGGTGCGCAAGCACCGCAGTGTGTGGCCTCGCACCGTTACTTCCTCGTCATATTCTGGCGTCCCACATGCGTCCGGGCGCCTGGCAGCTGTGGGCGGCTGGATGGCGTGGCGGCGTACCTTCGCAAGTGGTCCGGTGCGTGTGTACGTGTCAGAGCCGAGCCGAGCCGGCCGTCCCCGCTCCACAGCAGCCGCGCCGGGCCGCGCCGCAGCGGCGGCCGCTGACGCTGCGCACGCCCGCGTCCGCAGGCACCGTGGGGCCGCCGCGGCGCGCCGACGACGACACCGTGCACACCGGCGCCGTGCCCTTCTTCGCCAACCCGAACGTTGGCGGTGCCGATCGCGGTGGCGGCCCGGCGTGGTGGTGCTGGGAGCGGTGGCCGTGGTCTGCCTGCGGCACCGCTCGGCGCCCAGCCGCGGCAAGGGTGAGTGACCGGCGGCGTGTGACCGTGTGCCGCGCAGGAACCGTCGGGCCGCCGCTGGTGCGCGCCGCCGACGCCGACTGGTGGGACCGGATGCCCGGCTGGATGCCCGACCTCAACATACTCGTGCCGGCCGCCTGCGGCCTGGTGGTGCTGCTCGTCGGACTCTGCGTGCTTTGCGTCTACCTGAGCTCGCGGCAGCGCGGCGGTGCGCAGCGCTTCAAAGGTAGCCGGCGGCCCGGGCGGCGCCGGCGCCGCTGGACGGCCGGGCGCCGCCCGCGCTCTCGGCTGGACGGGCGCCGGTGCCAGCCTGCGTGTGTCTGCGGCTGGCGGCCGCTGCTGACCCCGTGCCGGTGACGTATGGCGGGCGGGCGGATCGTGGTCGGGATGAGTTGCAATGGAGTGGGCATGGCTGGGTCGGGATCAGTTGCAATGGAGTGGGGATGGCCGGGTCGTTGTCACCAGACTTGCTCTGCTGGTAGAGTTGTGCCGTGTGTGTGTGTGGTGTGTGTGTGTGTGTGTGTGTGTGTGTGTGTGTGTGTGTGTGTGTGTGTGTGTGTGTGTGTGTGTGTGGTGTGTGTGTGTGTGCGTGCGTGCGTGCGTGCGTGCGTGCGTGCGTGCGTGCGTGCGTGCGTGCGTGCGTGCGTGCGTGCGTGCGTGCGTGCGTGCGTGTGTTGGGCCACCGAGTTACGAGGCGCCGTCGCTGACAGCTGGCCGCCGGCGGCTGTCCACAGACGACACCCAGTACACCGGCCCGCCGCCGTACCCGAACCGGCTCTACAACGAGGAGCTCGGCTACATCGCTCCCCCGAACCGCAAAGCTGCCGCCCATCCCGGCTCCAACTACAGCACCCTCGGCTCGCAGGTCAAGCGCATGCCCGGAGGTGAGTGTCCCAGCGGCGCCCGCCGCCGCCGCCGCCCCAGCCTTGCGCTCTTCCTCTGCGCTGCCGTGAACGTCTGCCTGGAGCAGTGTGCAGGTGTCATTGGCGTCTGCCTTCCGCCGTTTTTTATATTTGGCGCCGGCTGGTCCCCGTCGATTTTAGACGTTTTCTGACGGGTCGGACTGTGCTTCGGCAGGGCTGAGCATAACAGCGTGATCAGACTGGTACATGCCTCTCTGAATTAAAGCCGCCTATCACTGTCAGTCCTCATAAGTATGTGACGTTCTGCCATGACCTGCAAAGTTGCACGGCCTTCCCCCAAGGTTGACTGATGCCGATAATTACTGCATGGACCTGATGGCCATTGTATAGAAGGCTCTCGGCCAGGTGATTTTTAGACGTTCTAAACCGTTTTGCACTCCGGCACTTCGCATGCGATTTTTTCGCTTGGTGTGTCGGTTGGCGCGGGTGCTGTCGCTCCCGCGGTTGTGAGTGCGAGAGCTTCGGAACGGATGGCCGGCCAGAGCCGGACGTAGTCGGCCGTCTGCTGGCGCGCCCGCCCGCCGGCGAGCACCGTCCCCAGCCGTGGCGCCGTGCGCTTGTGTCGTGTGGCCGTTTGTTTCGCCTCCTGTGTTGGCCCGCCGTCGCCGCGCCTAGTGCAGGCCGTAGCTCGAGGCGCGCCGGCCGCCGGTCAGCCGCCGCCCCTCCCCTCCGAGTGAGAGAGCAAGTGTGTGTGTGTGTGACAGGAGCAATGAGCGTCTACGGCCCGAGCAACCCGCGCCACCAGTATGAGGAGCTTAGCCAGCAGCAGTACGCAGGCGGCGTACGGCGCGCCGCCGCCGCCGCCGCCACGGAGTCCCCCACCAGCCCCAGGCACGTACTACAGCGTAAGACTGGCGCCCGCCGCGGGCTGGGAGAGCGAGGGCGAAGCGCGCTGACGGTGGGGGTGTGACGATGACTGGGATGGGCGGGCTGGGCGGTGCGGGCGGCGGCCCGCCTCGGCCCGGCTGGTGACAGCTGTCGACCGCCGCCCCTGTGCCGCAGTGGTGGGACCGAACGGCGAGGAGGAGATCGCCCCGTACGCCACCTTCCACCTGCTGGGCTTCCGTGAGGAGATGGACCCGTCCGGGCCGGAGCAGCCGCCGGCCGGCTTCCAGACGATGGCCGCCCGTCCGGCGCAGCAGGGCCAGCCGGGCCGGCAGCAGGCCCGCAGGTCCGCACTCTGGTCAGTACCGCTGCCGGCGCCCGGCTCAACACTCAGCCAGCGGGACGGCTGCTCTCCTCCGTCTGGGCTGGTCCGAGGAGCCCTAGGTGTGGTCTTGGTGGGCTCCTTTCATTTTGGGCATTTGGGCCGTACGCGTTCGTGTGGTGATGTTTTTTATTAATTTATTTTTACGCCTGGCTTGGCAAGGCCGATCGCAGAATTGTTTGTTGGAAATTGTTAATACCAAGGTAATACTTGCGGCAGTCCGCGAGGTTGCGTCTGTTCACGTGTCCATTCGAGTTGTGTCGTGTCATGTGTGCAGTGAGTTCACCAGAGCCTGGTCGTCTCCATCCCGTGCCGAGGCGCCTCACCGAAGGCTGTAACGTGTCGCCGTGCGCTAGAGCGCCGTTGCCTGTTCATCATCGCCGCGGTCGTGTCTGCTCGATGCGGCCCGGGGTCATCATGCACGGTCCGTGGGACGGGCGTGCGCGCACGGCCGGCGCCACCTGACCTAAGCCGTCCGGCCGGCAGCCCCGCAACACGCGCTACAGCCAGCCGGTGAACCCGTTCCCGCCGCCGGCGCACATGCAGCGCAGCTCGCTGGGCGGCGCCGCCTCCATGTTCTCCGCCCACCTACGACGACCCGGCGCGCTCCGACGACGAGGCCAACTACAACGGCAGCCAGTACAGCGGCGGCGGCCCGTACGCCGCGCTCGACGACACTTCTAGCCGCACGGGCACCGCCCGGCGCAACGGTGAGCGCGCGCCGGCGACGGCTCCGCGGCATGGCGGCCCCTCGGCCGCGTCTCTAGTGCACGTCGGCCGGGCGGTGCCGTCGGCGGCACCGGCGCGCGGCGCTGCCTGCCTCCGGCACACGGCCGGCCGCAGGCTCTTTATACGTGTTTCTCGTGCATATGTTCATGATCTTCGTATGTTGATTGTGGAATAGAAGGTGAGCTGGTCGCCTTAATCCGGAGGTGCGGCCGGGCGTACTGAGAGCGCGCTGCCAAACACGGTTTTTCCGCGTTGTCCATAAGAGGCTGTACATGCGCTCTGGCTCTGGGCTGGACGCCTGTCTCCGGATAAAGCCGCCAGTCAGAACTGTTTATGCATGCTGTACGGATATGCGTATATTTCTCTGTACATTCGCACCTAGCTGCCTTGCACAGAGCGTATCTGCATCGGCGTCAGTTACGTCCAATTTACACCGGATGCGTCCGACATGTACGTACGCAGGCGCATGCGCCAGAGGACGCAATACTACGGCATGCGTAAAATGGCCCCTTGGAGGCGATGCTGGCATAAATTAAATCACTGAGCTCCTATTCCTCATCTTCGAGCTCGGACGCTGCTGTGTCATGTTAGGCATGCAATCGCGTCAGTTGGCGCCACGTGATGCGTACTAGCGTCCGGACGCATCCGTGGTGTGGTTGGCTCGTAGTCTGTTCGTACCCTGCGGCTGGGCGCGGCGCGGCGCTGCGCGCTGAGCCTGCGGCCGTGCAGTGAAGGCCTGTGTTCTGCCCGGTGAAGGGACGGACGGCGGCTGGCCCGACTGGCGGCTCTCTCTGCCGCCTCCGCCGCCGTCCCTGCTGGACCAGGAGGAGCCGCTGCCGCCGCCGCCGCCGCCGCGCGCCTCCCTGGACGACTCCAACACCTCGCAGCAGACCGACACGTCGGCCATGGAGTGTGACCGCGACCACGCCATCCTGGCAGTTACCTGGCCACCGCATGTCGCCGCGAGCCGCCGCCCATTCCGCCTGCACGCATCGTCCGCTGATGACTGTCGTATGCTCTGCCGGTGTGTTCGACCCGCTCTCCATGCCCGTCTGTGAGCAGCTAGCTGGGACGGTTGCGGGCCCGCGCATCTGTGTCTGATGCGGCGCTCTGTTGCAAGCGCCGGTGTGGAGTGCAGGTGTGCTGTTGTGTGGTGTGCGTTTCGATGTTCTCATCACGGGCCGCCGTCGGTGGTCGGCGCGTGCCCGGCGGGCCGCCGGCTGGCGAGGAGCCGGGCCGCGCGGGTGCCCTGCCCCCCCGCCGCCGGCCGGTGCAGGGCCGCTGACGAAGCGCCCCGGCTCCGTGTTGCAGACAGCCCGCAGTTTGGAAAGGACGGCAGACCGGCGGACGAGACCCGCAAACTTCTGGACAGGTACGCCGCCTCACACTGCTGTGAAGTCGGGATGGACGTCCGCATTCTCACAAAATAGATAGCTTGTGTCGCTATAATCTTATGAATTTGGGATGAAGTGTGTTTCAGTGTACGATAGGAGTAAAGCGAACATTGCGAAGGCCCAGGAGCCTGAGAGAGATACAAACACTCCACCCGCGGCCGCCACGGACGCTACGCCACGAAGCCCGCGTCGCACAGGCTTGTCGCGACGTCCACCGACCATGAATCTCACCTGGAAACAGGGGGTACTCTCATGGGCTGAAAACGCCAGCTTAATGCGTTTTGATGGCATCAAGTTGTCCGATACCCAGCTAGCAAGTCGAACTGACACGTCAGGCGCTGGATATATGTTGTCACCCATAATACGCACATGAGCCCGCATCTTTCCGGCGGTGCTCCTGCTGAAAACAAAATGCTGCAACGCTGCTGTGGACCGTCCTGTGTGGCGAGCGGTCTCCTCGACGCTACTCTGCATAACGATCTTATCCCGACTAGCTCCATTGCCAGTAATGAGGGAACCCCTACAGAACACTACATAATTCGTGTGACTGCGACACACCATTTGGGTCGCAGCGATGATCTCATTTTATCCGGAGGGACACAAAGAGCACGCCTGCCCCATTCCTGCGCGCGCTACCACCCCGCTGGCGCTGCCCCGTCCCGGCTGGTCTGAACTCTAAACGGGTCGTTCCGCGCCGCCCCAGCGACAAGGAGCAGTAAGTGTGGCGCGTCGACCCCTGCTCTCACGTTAGTACGGTCCACGGGTCTTGCCTGCGGACGGCGCCACCCCCGCGCCGTCGCTGTGGCGCTCCTCTAGATTGTGGTTGGGGGGGGGGGGGGGGGGGGGTGAATAGTTGGCGCCCCTCCGGTGTCATTCGGCCCTGTCTGGACGGCCGGCCGATCGGGCCCGAGGCTGGTCCGGCCGCCGGGCTCTCGGGCCTGAGGCTGGTCCGGCCACCGGTCGCTCTGGTCCGAGGCTGGTCCAGTCGCCGGCCGCTCCGGCCCGAGGCTGGTCCGGCCGCCGGCCGCTCGGCCACCGGCTCCAGGATCGGCGCACCTGCACGCTCGTCGTGTCGAGCTGCTTTGCCGGCATGCCAGTCTGTACAGCACTGGCCCAGCACCGGTGTCACGCACACCCACTGGGGGCGACGGATCGGGCCCGTTGGGCGCGATGGTCGTGCGCCCCGTGTGGTTTTGCACGCACCAGTGGGCCGGGTTCGTTCCCCTGGAATGCACTATGGGTGCCCCCGGCTGCACGTGGAAGGCATGGGTGCGGTGTTTTATCACCTAGATGTGTATGGTGATGCCGGCTCTGTAGTTTCAGACCTTTTGACAGCTCACTTTCAACTGGACAAATGACCCGTTATGTACGTTGTACTTGACGTGATCCGCAAGGCTGCACCTTGCGGATCACGTCGCAGTCACCTCGTAGACTGACCTCTGCACCTTGCTACCTGTCCGTCAGGCAGCACTGTAAGCGCGCGGGATCCGTGTTGTGGGTGGCCCTCGCCACTGCGATGCACTGCAGCCAGTCCTGAAGGACCTCTATGACCTCAGATTCTTCTGAATATGAACACTTTCTGTCGATTCGTGTAGCCTTTCTATAGACTTGAGTTGTGATGTGCACATATCGATCTTTGTGTGCTTTCCGTATGAGGTCATCGATTTCGACGTCCGTTTCTCGTGGGTGGCTGTGCATGTTATTTGTTGACATTTTTGTAGCGTCGCACGCGAGCAGGTAGCGCTTTAATGTGCTCATGTTCCACTTCACCTTCCTAGTCAAACGTATGAGGGGCGGGTCGTCTTTCCCCAGTCAGGGGCACGACACAGTGCGAAGACACGACGCCTGGGGTCTGTCCTTGTGTCACCAAATTGCATTCAGAGCAACTCGGCTGAGATCGTTGGCCGCCTGACGGGGCCGGTGTGTTCCGTTCGTGCGCCGCTGCCGGGATCGGCCGGGCCATCGGGCCGGCCTCGTCGCGCCCCACGCGGCGTCACGGTCAGCCGCGGACGGCGGCCGTCTGGAGGCGGTCGTGTTTCGCCTGCCGCTCGTGATGGGGCGGGGAGTGGACGGCCACCGTGCCGGCGTCGGACACCGACTGTCGGCGCCAGACACCGACTGTTGGCGCCGGACGCGGACCGTCCATGGCGACGCCTTGCGACGGCCGTGCCGCTCTGCTGGTGGCCGTTTCGTAGTGCCGCTGCACGTGGGCCGCGTGTCGCGGTTGTCTGGCGTTCCCGTGCTCCGGATGTCAGGCGTCCCTGTGTCCCGGTTATCTGGCACCCCGTGTCCCGTTTGTCTATCTCCGCGTTTGTTGCCCTGACGTGACCGCTCTCAGGTCGTCCCGCTCGTCTGACGTCCGTCCGTCCCGTCCCAGGAACGAGGCCCGCCGGCCGCACGTGACCGCGCAGAATGGCCTGGTGCAGTACGACACGGTGAACGTGTGAGCGGCGCGACCCGGCCGCGGCCCGTTTCAGCTCGCCCAGCGCTCGGCCCGCGCCCTCCCGCCGGGCCGACGCAGCCCCGTGCCATGGCGCGGCCCGCCGGCCGCCGGCCGCGCCCTGCCCCGCTCTGCCCCGCCCCGCCCCACCCCGCTTCTGTGGCGTGCGCCGCCCGCTTGGGCCCGCTCATTGGTAGGTAGTGCCGCCGCCGCCGCCGCCGCCGTCGCCGCCGTTGCTCGGTGTTTGCCTAGATGTTCCGCTTCTCGACGTGTGTGTCTAAGTCAGTGTAGCGTGATAGGAAGCCGCGCTGCCGCCGTCGCGCGCGCGCCAGGACAGGAGCGCGCCTCGGGCGCTGCGCGTAGTCGGTTTTGTACATGTACTCGGCGTGTCAGGGGCGAAAGGCGTGCCGGTCGGAGGCCGCCCGCCGGCCCGCGGGTCCCGGCGCTCGCTGGCCGCAAGACCAGTGCTCGCTTTCTTTTTATGAACGAACCCCGTTGTGATTACTTTGGTTTAGTTGTGAGGCGCGCAGACCGAGCGGCATTGCTGCAGCGGGATGGGAGTGAGCGGCGGGCATCCTGATGTGGATGGATCGGGGCTACCTAGTCGTTTACGGAGCGTGTGCTGTCAGCGAATGGATGGGGGTTAAGGTCCCGCTCAGGGGAGTAGGTGGGAAGGCAGGTATTGTACGCGGAGGGTGACGTTCCGTTCTCCATCAGGCGCCGTGGTGTGGTGCGACCCCTTGGGGCTCGCTGGCTCCGTACTGAGTCTCAAGTCGATTACGTACTTAAATTTCGAGAAAACCTTCCAATTTCTTCCATGTTACTGCTCAAAAGGACGTTTTCGAGTGATTAATGGGGACCGCAGAGGATGGCTTTGATTGGTGCTTTTCTGTTGTAGTATTGGCATGGCGCCGCCGGCTTCTGCGGAGTACTCGTGACCGTGTGTTGTGGCCTGCGCCGCGGTTTTGCTGACTAATGCTGCCGGGGCGGTTGATGTTGCCGCTGTGTACAGTGTTTGACTGCAACGATCCATCGATAATCCTATGTATTTACACTAACGAGTTTAACTACTTTATGTTTCCGTTGTAGTCGCCATGTGCCAATTTTATTTGCCGCGCTATGATTGGCGACCAGCACACTCCGTGCTCTCTGGATCTAACATGCGGCCCGCAATGGGCCGCCCGGCTTCTGCTAGGGAAGTGACATTTTAACCGCTATACTGTTTAGCTGCCCTCGTTCTGACGAACGAGCTTTTGTGCTTCAATAAATATTGTCCTCTGGCATTGTGCGTGTGTGGTGGAGCGGCGTTCGCCTGGCTTCACGTCTCCAGTGAAGGCTCAGGCTCGGCAACGACGCGAGAGAAGGAGCAAAGACAAAGAGACAAGCTCAAGTGCTCAAATGTTGGCCGGCGCTGGCCTGTTAGAATGACACGGCGAAACACTGCGCCGGAGGCGCATACACGGCTGGCAAGTGGTGCGAGCGCAACTGCTCTCAACATCTCACGGCGCCGGAGAGCGAGCCGGCCGGAGCGGGCGGCGGCCGTGGAGCGCGCGGTCACCGCCCGCCAGACACCCGGCGCTCGCTGATGAATGAGGATGGTTTGGCAGACTGCGCTCCTCCAGACGTCACTGGTTGGCTCTGCCCGGGCCAGTGACGGGCCCGTGAGGAGCGCACACACGTGGTCACGTATACGCCGCGCAGACACACGCACGTCCATATTTGCACCATGTCTTAGGAACAAGCGAATTATGTGTACAATTAAATCACAATGAGCAATGCATGACAAGTTACGAATGATTCCGGGAGTGTTAGTGCTGGGACGCTGGCTGCCCATAACAGTAAGAGGCTCGGGGACGAACAGCGAAGCGGCCGACTGACACACGTCAACCGCTCTCTTGCCCGCGGGTGACTGTCAGCGTTGAGTGGGTGGTGTGTTGTCGGGCTGCGAAGGGGTGGGGAGCTCGCAACTTCTGTAGCGTTTGAGAAATAGTGGTGGCTGGTTACGAAGCGTCGTTTAAGTTCATGTGTGGCTACATTTTAAGATGACTGAGCAAAAACAAGCAAGGTAGCTGCGTGCAACGTGAAATTGCGACCCACGAACAAAAACGTGACGTTCGCAGTCCTGGTGCGAATGTTCAGTTACAAGCATGCAACTGAGGGGGGGGGGGGGTGTGAGCCAGACCCACGTTTCTGAGTCAGAGGGGCGTGATCGCAGCGACGGCTCATGCGGCAGTACCTCATACTTCGCCGAGCCGGCCGGTGCCCACGGCTATCTTTTGTGCACGACAAGGGACAGACGCGACCCTGGCCAGAGTGACCTCCGGCCGGCGGCAGCTGTCGCTGACGCGTCGCGAATGTGTGACCGGGCTGTTCGCTGTCCGCCCCCGGGCGGGCCGGACCTGGCCGGCGCTCTGAGCGGGCGGCCGGCGCCCCGCGCGACGCGTCCGGCGGCCCAGCCGGACGGGAGGGGGGGCGCGCGGTGCCGGTGGCACCCCGCTGACTGCTGCCGGCGCGCGCGCGAGGCCGGCGGCGTGCCCGCGGGTCCCCGGTGTTCTCAGCGGCCGAGACCGCCCGCAGTCGGCTACTGTGGCGGCGGCCGGCCCCAGCCGCGCCGGCTAGCCTCTGCTGCGACGGTGGCCAGCCCCAGCCGCACCGGCTAGCCTCCGCTGCGACGGCGGCCAGCCCCAGCTGCGCCGGCTAGCCTCTGCTGCGACGGCGGCCAGCCCCAGCCGCGCCGGCTAGCCCCTGCTGCGGCGGCGGCCAGCCCAGCCGCGCCGGCTAGCCTCGAGACGTCTCGCTATTAAATACAACGCACATACGCTTAACATGACTAGTGGCGGGGGTTGTCGACCGAACGAACCAGCGCGACGATTCCACTTGCACCTCGTTACATAAACAGGTTCCCGCGGCTTGGCACGTTCAAAAAGTATGCGCAGAGCGCACGCGATCACTGGCGCATTTCAGGGCTGAGTCCCTTACGTCTCATGCGACCCGATTCGGCCGCGTTAGGCTTCGAAGAAACCTAGCGGCCGCAACTTTGACGGCTAGGTAGGTCGCGGCGTCACACTCGCGCTTCTAAAACACGTCACTCGCGCCCACACGGGTTCTAGCCGAGATTTGTGTCGCCGCAGGTCGTATAAGTACTGCAGGAAGGTGATGTACTGGCGCCAGCGGCGGCGCCAGGCGCGGCATGCTGCTGCCGCCGCGCCGTCGCTGCGCTGCCGGGCCCGACCCTTCCCCCGGCCCCGGCTCCGGCCCCGCTCACAGTCCGCCCAGCTGCCGGCGACGCCTGGCGACGAGGGCCGCTGCTGCGAGTTCGCTCGGCCGCCACCGCCGCCGGCCGACTCGAGTTCCGTCGGCGCTGCCTGGAGCCGTGCCTGTGCCCCTTTACTGGAGTCCGCGTCGGCAGCGGCAGCCCGCCCGGGCCCTCGCACTGGCTCCGAGGCCCGCACACTGTCACTGGCACTGGACGCCGCCCCCCGGCGACGGCAGGGCGCGCTCCCGCCTTCGCCGCCGCGGTCACTGGTGGCTCAAAACGGCCGGCAGCAGCGGCGGCGGCTCGGCCGTCTGCGTGCCGTCCGCCTCCGCCTGGCTGGGCGTGGTCCAGCTGCGGCGGCGGCTCCGAGAACCGCTTGACACGCAGCGCGCCGCCACGCCCGCCGCCGCCAGCCATCGCCCCGCCAGCGCGCTGTCTCGCAGCGCTCGGCGAAACGCCGCCAGCCGCTTCCGCTCGAGCCGCAGCGCCTCGCGCAGCGGTTTTAGAGCCCTTGAGCGGTAGCAGCTGGAACATGATGTCGCGCGGCACGGGGCGCTGCCGAGCGCGCTGGTGGCGGCGGCGCGCCTTCTGACGCTGTTGGGCCGCCGCGTGCCGCAGCCGGTGGGACGGCGGCACTCGGCGGCGGCCTTCCGCCTCGGCCGGCTCGGTGGCGCGCGCCGGCCGCCGCCGTCTGGCCTGCGTCCGCGTCCGCGTCCGCTGCCGGCGGCGGCCGGACCCCCCGCCGCCGGCCGCCGGCGCCGGCCGTACGCGGCGTCGACGGCCGGCGCCGACGACCGTGTCTCGGCCGCGGCCGGCCGCCCGCCCGACGCCGCCCGTCCCGCCGGTACTTCGTACGCACGGCGCGCACGCGCACAGCGCCCTCGTCCGAGATGGAGAGGTGCAGCCGACGGTCTGGGCCGCTTCGGCTCGTGTAGGTAGATCATGTAGAGTCTCTTCTTGGGCAATATCTTGAATCGACACTTGCTCCCACGAAAGTATTTCTGAAATAGAGAGAATGGTGGCCTGGCCTTCAAACTGCTTTAGTGTTGGATGCACTTAAATGCTCGAAGTGCCACGTGATTTCAATCGGTGGTTAATGAATTATGGACGGATTTTTGTCGACATCATTTGTACACAGCATGGTCAAAACATGACTGACAATGCATGTTTAAACAAATATGAGTTGGAAACCCATACGCACGGCGGACAATGACTAAGAGCAGCTTATACCGTTGATCTACAGCCAAGACTTCCCCGATGCATTAACATGCAGGGATCATTCGCACGATTGCACCTGAAATGGCAAAAAGTTTGAAAGATGACCCACTCGGGTGATCTGAAACACTGTGCTCGGATCCTACCGAAGAGAACGCCTGGCGCTTTCTGCTGAGGCACAGGTACATTCCAGAGGCCACGCCGCGAAACGTGTAGTACCTCCGAACGTCCGTTCTTATCGTCTTGGACGTGGTCATGTTTAGGACAGCTGAAAAAGACGAAACGTGTAAATCATTCACCATAGCGAATGTGATTAAACCAGTACCAACTCACACCACTTGGTCACATCATAGGACACGGACACCGCAAATGTATCCCCCTCGCTTGGGTTAGGTGGGGGTGGGGAGGGTGGACTCGGATCCGCGTCTGCAGGTTGTGTGTGGAGGGAAAGAGGGTGGACCCGACGGCATGTCTGGGTGTCAGAGAGGGGTCTGGCGCTGTGTCTGGATGAGGGAGGGAGGCTGGACCCGGTGTCATGACTGGGTGTCAGAG